GAAGTACTCGAGTGCTTGCACATGAAATGAGACACTAACTTAGTTCAAATTACAACGTATCCAAAGACATTAAGAACAATAAATACATTATGCATACAACTTCAGGAGGAGAAACGAAGAAAAAAGGTGGTGTCAAGGCTCACCATTGAAGGCGCTGAGTAAGATGCATCCATGGCAGAACTCTTTTCCTAAAAATACAAGAATAATTTATTTTCTTTGTATTATGTGTGTAAGAACAACTGCAAAGGGTTTCTTCAACCTCCTCAATTTATAACTGAAGAGGGTTCGCATCCTTACGTGAAAAGGAAGTAAAAAAAAAAAAAAACTATTCCATTGAAGATAAGGGAAAAAACAAAAACAAAAATCTAGAAATTTATTATCTCTGTATCAATTGTTCCCATTTAGTCTTAACTCTTCATCTATCTCTCTTCTGCAATGTTGCTATATCGACAGAAAATGGGTGCAACTTGTCCCTTGGGAGCTGCATTTGCAAGGCACGTATGGAGATTTGGCCATTTTTGCAGCTAAACCTTGCCACCGTATGCTATTACTGCTGTCTTTTTTCTCTTTTCTTTTCTTTTTCATACGATGCCACCATTTTCAGTCATCTGTAAACCGATTTCTATTTTTCTTGTTTCGAATTTTTAATGTATTTCTGATAGATGTCTGATCATTTAACTGTCTCAGGGTTTCTGTATCTATATAAATTAATTTTTCTTTTTAATTTTATTAGTACTTTTCTATCAAAAATATATAAAATAATATTTTTTATTTATTTTTTAAAAATTATTTTTGACATCAAATAATCTAAAAATAAAAAAAATTAATTCTAAATAAAAATTTTAAATTTTAAAAAAATATGGTTTCACGTTTTTTTAAAAATAATTAAAATTTGAACGTTGGTCAACAGTGTCTGCTGCGTTATTTTTTTTTTGTTTTCCCTTGATAATCTCTTATGTGTATTCGGACATGATAAGAGTCTTATCCTAGCTGGTCCGTTGCCAATCCATTACAATGCTCCTCCACATATGAACAATAAAACTACACTTAAGAAAAAAAATTCAATCCGTGTGGATTATCAAAAACAATTACAGGAAAATAACTAATCATATATCACAAAGTACTTATATATATATATATATATATATATATATATATATATATTATAAAGTTTCTTGCGGCTTAAGAGGGCAATTGTGCCCCTTCATTTATTTAAAAAAAAATCACAATAGCTCTCAAAAATTTTAATAATTTAATTATCTCCTTTTTTCAAGTTAGAGAGTCGCCCCATATTTTATGAAAATCCTTCATTAATTTGTCTTTACGAGAATAACTATTGTGTATGGACTATTGTTGCTTGTTTCAACTTAACTTTTTATTTAATAATATTTTTTAAATACAAGATTATAATTATTTATTAGAGAATTAATGCTATAGTTTGTGCAGTAGTTCTTCCTTTTCTCTTTACTTCTACCTATCGATCCTAACTTCGGTTGAATTCAAGATTTCATTGGGATGATTTCTCAACCAATTATTAGTTGAAATCATAGTTTACTTGGTTTAATCCCAATCATTGAATTGACATTGAGTCAAGTATTTTATTTTATTTAAAATAATTTTAGAAGTAGAGTTGTTATTATTTTTTAAAATATTTTTTATTTAGAAATATATTAAAATAATATTTGTTATTTTTAAAAAAATAATTTTGTTACATCAATATATTAAAATGATTTAAAAACAACAAATACATATTAATTTAAAATAAAAATAAAAAATATTAAATTATTTCAAAAATGCTTTTAGAATACAAAAACAAACAGGTTAAAATCTGAGTCGGTTTATAATTTAAAATATTAAATCAAAAGTCAATAATTTTATTTAAAATTTTGATATTTTCTAAGAAAATATATTATTTAATAATCTAATAAGAAAAAGTTAGATCAATTATTTATACAAAAGTTAAAAACCAACGCATCTAAAGTAGGACAAAATTAAGTAGAAAAGTAATGAAATTATGAAACAAATTAGAAAATTAGTTAAAACAGCAAAAATAACATCTCCTGTATGATTTTTTTATTATTAGATCAATAAAACAATCTAGCAAATTTTGAGCTCCATACAATAATTAAATTTAAAATTATCATTTTTTTTATGATTTTACATGTTTTACTACTTTGTCTTATTTATTTCATTTATAAATGTTTTTATAACATTGAGTTCCACACCACATATCATTATTTAATGTTAATATAATTTATAATGTGTTATTTTTTAAATAATATATTAAAAAAATTTCTTGATTCTTGTAATTTCTTCACATAAAAAGTATAACTACTTAGCATATACATTTTCATATAAGAAAAGTAAAAATATGAGATCTACTATAAAAATTATTTATAAATTCTACTTTTATACAAGAGAGAGAACAACTCTCATGTTCCCATACACTGAATAATTTTTCTTAATAATATTTAATTATTTTCTAGAGTTAAATTAATTTCAAATCTTTATCCGTAGGGATTTTACAAGCCTAATGACCTCAAACGTTTAGGTCTATTCCTTCAATGGTGGAATGTGGTCATGCATGGAGGTGACGATAGAGAAACTCTTTCCACGAGTTTGGAATTGGGAGTCCCGAGGACACCTTAAGATAACCCTATCTTGACCCTTCTCTCACCCTCTGCTCCACAGGATGCAAAAATCATGAATTTTGTTTTTTTTTTTTTAAATTATTTTGAAATTAAATTAATTTTTTTTATTTTTTTTTCATATTTTCATATTTTTATTATTAGCAAGATTAAGGATATGCCTATCCGATCAAAAATATATATATATTTTTCAAGTGAAAAAAAAAATATTACTTATTGTGATTCCTCTCATTTTATAAATTATTTACATTTCAGAAAATCTTTAATTTATTTATTTATTTATTGAGAAATCCCCAACACTCTCTTTAGGTTACATGCAAACTGGGCCGGGTTGGTCCAACCTAAAACCATACTTAGAAATTAAGAAGTTTTTTCTTGGGCCTCTTGATTAGAGCCCAACTCATGCCTCGATCTAGAGTCTAATATTATAGCCCAAAATCCCTTCCTCCCTACATTGCTGGGCTTTTAGGGCTCCATTCGCAAGCCAGACTTGGCAGCAACTCAAACCTTCAAATTTTGCTTCTGTGATACAAACACCACCCTTCATCTTTCCACCCTTAATCACTCACTTGAAGAGGGTTTCTAAGGTTTTATTGAGATCATAGAATTTTATTAAGAGCACAAATTGGTTTATTAAGAAGAGAGATAGCTGTTAGAATAAGCTAAAAACTAAACTTAATCAGATATTAATCATATCAAGCTCAGAAAATATAAGATTCGGTCGTCATCACGATAATTATAAATAAAAAAATATGTTTAACTTTAAAAAAATATTAAATTAATGTGTTTTTTAATAATTTTGATCTGTTAATGTTAAAAATAAATAATATTTTTTTTTAATTTTTTTAAATTATTTTGAAATAAAAATAATTTTGATATGTTAATGTTAAAAATAAATAATAATTTTTTTTAAGTAAAGGTCTAATATTATAGCCCAAAATCCCTTCCTCCCTACATTGCTGGGCTTTTAGGGCTCCATTCGCAAGCCAGACTTGGCAGCAACTCAAACCTTCAAATTTTGCTTCTGTTATTGAGAAATCCCCAACACTCTCTTTAGGTTACATGCAAACTGGGCCGGGTTGGTCCAACCTAAAACCATACTTAGAAATTAAAAAGTTTTTTCTTGGGCCTCTTGATTAGAGCCCAACTCATGCCTCGATCTAGAGTCTAATATTATAGCCCAAAATCCCTTCCTTCCTCCATTGCTGGGCTTTTAGGGCTGCATTCGCAAGCCAGACTTGGCAACAACTTAGACCTTCAAATTTTGCTTCTGCGATACAAACACCACCCTTCATCTTTCCACCCTTAATCACTCACTTGAAGAGGGTTTCTAAGGTTTTATTGAGATCATAGAATTTTATTAAGAGCACAAATTGGTTTATTAAGAAGAGAGATAGCTGTTAGAATAAGCTAAAAACTAAACTTAATCAGATATTAATCATATCAAGCTCAGAAAATATAAGATTCGGTCGTCATCACGATAATTATAAATAAAAAAATATGTTTAACTTTAAAAAAATATTAAATTAATGTGTTTTTTAATAATTTTGATATGTTAATGTTAAAAATAAATAATAATTTTTTTTAAGTAAAGAATACTTTTAAAAGCACTATACATCACAATACAAATCACAAATTAATCAATATTTCATTATTTTAAACTATTGGAGCCTTAATTGGATGTTAAACTACAGGATATTACTATGAAAACCAGTTTTCAACTCTTTTTTTTTTTTTTAATCCCCTTTATTATAGGGATGAGCAAGAATCGACTATAGAGTTGCCACTTGCTTAATGTAATATAAAGTGATTTCTCAGGCTATTATTGATCTACAATTCTTTGCAAGGCATAATAAAACCAAATTTTAATAATGAATATGACAATTGACAGGAAACATTGAGCTCCAAAATTCCACAAAAGCAAGTACACGAATTATTGAATAATAAAATCAGCTTCTTGGATCACTGGTTTACAACTCTGCCCTGTGCCAGAGCCAGAGCCATCCCTGCTTCTTTTTTTTTTTAGTATCATTCTAACCAAGAACACATGCCATTTTCATATTTTGTGTTGCAGTAGATCCCCTGAGTTTAAAGTGGCAACAAAATTGATGTTCCAAGGCAAAAATGTTGGCTAAATTTAAGAGTTTAAGATCTCATAATACACCTTTATGGCCAATCCCATCTCATAGATCCTGGCATAGATAACATATGAGAGGTTGTTGGAAATTCTTGATGCAATATCGTTCTGCAGACAATCTCAAGCTTATAGATTGAATGTTTCATTTCACCGCCACAGAAATTATGTACAGTGTCGTGTCTGATCTAATTAATAGATGTAAGAATTTCCCACCATTTTTACCATAAGCAGACTTCATTATATAATTTAAGCATTAATTAACTCACCATTACCACATTGAAGAAGCAACAATTGTACAAATATCTTGATCACAACCTAAACCCACCCATATTGCAGACTCTTAGAAGAAAGCTAAAAAGCCACCCAAAATTTTGCTACTCTAGTACATCAGATAGGGCAATCATCTTGGACACCCCTGATTTACTGACTCGTAGAGTATCTTGAAGTCCAGTACTTCTCAATTTCTTCTGCTGTTCTTCCTGGAATCCTCCCAGCAATTAAGGGCCACCTAAAAAGATTAGGACTTTCTCAATCAAAGCTAAAACAGTAGTAAATAGAAGACAAGGGGGAGTAGAGTTTAAGCCTACCTCTCACCAAACAGATTGTACATCCTGGTGATAAGAGTTTCCTCATCTTCTGAGAATTCAAGCTTAGAATCTTGGCTGGTTTCCTCTGCAACACACAAGAAAAATCAATCTTTTGTTTTCAATTGATGGCTTCAAATAAAAAATGCCGAGTAAAGCAGGAGGACTAGAAATTTTCAATCTCGTACTGACAACCAAAAAAACCCAGAAAGCAAAACACAAATTAAGCAGAAATTAGCCATCAAACAAGAGAATAATGCAGCATAAAAGAGCCCAATTCTCAAATCCTAATAGGCCCATGATTTAAAAAAAAAAAAAAACCATTACTTTCAAATGGGTACCTCCAAAATAAACATAGAAAACAGAAGACAGATGATCCAAGCAAGTTGAGAAAAAAAAAAGAGAGAGAGTAAAACCAGCAGTCAACAAGGCAAGATTTTTTAAAATTAATTACCTCTAGAATCAACAGAGTGGTCATCACTAGAGGAGTGATCCAAGTCAGCCATAATTAAGTTGAAAGAAACTTATGATGAACAGAAATTTCTAATCTTGAGTCTATGGAAGCTGACTGAGTGTGAAATTTAAGGGATTTGATAAGTGGAGTATTAATAGAGGGAGGCCACAAAGATTCCTCACCTCAAAAGGTGGTCATTAATGGATGGAGAAGAATGGGCGGTGGTGTGGGAGAATGGTAGTTGAAGGGAAGTATGTGTTCCCAGTCCAACTTTGATAGGTAGTTGAACATTTAACCGTCGGTTGGTACCTGAACAAATATATTAAATTATTTTCATAAATAAATAACTTAAATGATTTTTTATGATGCCTTTGCCTTGGTTTTTGCTTAAATTCCATGATAAACAGACCAGCCATTAACTTAAACCCATGGCGTCAAAATCATTGGCCAAAGCCTGAAAGTAGTTTGAAAACCTTTCTAAATCAGTGTCAAGTATCTTGAACTTCTTGGAGTCTGCTGGGTTTTCATCAAAAACGTTATCAGATAATTCCACTAGGTGTCACTTTGCATGTTTTTTCACAATCTGAGGTTGTCATTTTCACTCACAAAAACATGTCTAAAACAAAGATACAAGTATTTTTTTTTTCTTGTTTTTCCAGCAATCATTCAAATTAAATAGGGTATTCTACTTGAAGAGAATTTGGTTTGAAACAAGAGTAAAGATTTAGGATGTGTTTTGACTTGTGGTTCAGCCCCTTTTTTCAAATTATTTTTTGATTAAAAAAACATTGAATTAATATATTTTTAATTGTTTATCTTTAACAATTTTAATATATTAATGTAAAAGTAATAATAATATCATGCCATGTCGCGCATTACTAAACAAGCATCGGTCATGCAAGAGAAAAACATGGCAGCGGAGAAAAGGGGATCCGAAATTGAAGTGGAAAATCGTTGGCATGGACGGGAACTAACTTAAAGAACACAGTGAGAAATGTCAAGATTAGCAGCAGATTCTTTTAATTTATAGGCTACTTAAGCTTTGGACAAAAGTCTTAAAGATGTTTGTACGTTTTTAGGCTAATACAAATACTAGGGACAATGACTTGAGTGTTTATTACTCCACACCAACCGTCTAAGACAGAAAACCAAAGTATAAATGCGTTTGAAATTGCAGTTGAAAGTACAGCATAGAAGAATTAAGATTTTCAACACAAGAACATTTTTCAATTAAGCATATACATCCTCTGTTTGGTGGGCTAGTTGGATTGTTAGGTATCACTGGATAAGCTTGCTTCTGCTCACTTGTGTAATAATCTTTGTTTGAGGGCAGGAGCTGACCAGGTGGGACTAGGTCATGACTCGTGTGTAGACAAGCAATTGAATGATTGGAAAATGTCTGGTAAAAAATTTAATGAAGGCCCGAAGACCAAGTTATGTCACAGCAGTGATCCCAACAATGACAAGTTCAGGAAGAAGACAAGCCAGTATGCAATAGTTTTTAAGATCTTTACATGCCTATAAATTTGTAGTTACAAGACTTAACTCGAGGGTTACCTCACAAGTTATGATTTAAAAAATAAAAATGACATCGTTTTAAAGTAAAAACCAACCGGAATCAGGTTTCGATAAACAAATCACCGAGTTGACTCCACCCTCACCTTTGTATTTTGTATAGGGTGGAGCGTTTTTATTCATTCTCCCATATGAACCGATGAAGCTTGTTGTGCCCAAACCGGTTCTCTTGATGTAACTTTCACAGCACCTTGACAGAAAGAAAAGCATTAATTTGCATCAATTTGTTAATCCTCAGCAAGCCCTTTCACATCCCTAGTTCAATTCGAGCCAGTCCAGCTACAGTCGTGCCCTGCTCACCATTAAGAAGTTGCGGTTGAAGTAAATATTAGAGATGCCAAGGTGAAATCCGAGAAGAAAATAAAAGGTTGCTGCTTCTTGGCTTGGTTTAATATGTAAACAATAAATATTAAAATGATAGAAAATGAATCTTTTTATCCAAAGAGAAAAAAATGTGTCTGGATATCTTCTGCAGAAACGATTTGCATTCTATTGATTAAAATAATTATAAAATTTCAAAATATAACTTACCTTTCACTCTTTTATTTTTTATTTTTATAAATTTAAATGAGAAAATGTTATTTTTATGAGAAATCATTCAGGGGCTATAGCACCCCAACAAAACGAAAAACAAGTAGCTATAGCCTCAATGGCTATAGGCCTCAAACAACTGGGCTACGAATGCATGGCACGCCGTTTCAGATTTTTGAACTAGCAGGGCACATGGTGTAATCACCTTAGCATTGCCTTTGTTGCTTCAGAGTGCGTTCCCACTAACCCATCTTTCAATATGTCTTGTTAAATTCTCTTACAATTTCAATTTCAATATGCTAAATTCGATTCAAAAAGTCCATCTGGGTATTGCCGTTTATTTATTTATTTATCAAAGTTATCTCCTTTTTCAGTGATTTTTCGGGTTTTTTTTATTTGTTGGGTTATTTGGATTGATTTGTGATCTGTGGTGTTTCAGTTTTGTCTGTATGATTAGTTTTGTAGGTTGTACTTGGGTTTTAGTTTATGCTCACCAAATGTTTGATGAAATGCTTTTTTAATTTTTTCCTTTCCTGAAGCAGGTTAGAAATGGCTTTCACGAAGAAACTATGGGAGAATCTTGTGGAAGAATTCAGTAAAACCTATTTTATGCATTCGAGATTTTATAGTTCAAGAGTCGACTTTAAGAAGCTAAGGCCCATGATACTAAAGAGGATTCAAAACCGTGCCAAGGATTATCCGGTGAAAGGAATGGTCCCGGTTGCCCGAGAGGTTCTTGAAAAAAGAAAGCTTCTTATTCAAGGTGTTTCCACTCTTATGGAAGTTTTTCCGGTCCTGGCTTGCAAGTAAGTTGCTAAAATTTGATGCACATTTTGGATTTTAGTGTGTTTAAGGTAAAAAGAATGATTTTGTTGTCTTTTTCAATCACCAAATGTTCTTGTTTGATTGGTTTGTTATTATGATTGAAAAAAATTGTGTTTTGTAGGTTCTGTCCTGAAGTATATATTGGTGAGAAGGGTCATTTGATTCAGACTTGTTATGGTTACAAGCGTTGTGGTAGAAAGCGGGTTCATGAATGGATCCCTGGGGGTTTAAATGATATACTGGTGCCAGTAGAGACATTTCGCTTACATAACATGTTCCAAGATGTTATCGAACATAACCAAAGGTTTGATTTTGATCGTGTTCCTGCGGTTGTGGAGTTATGCAGGCAGGCAGGTGCCAATATTGATGATGAGAATCTCCACCCTGGCATGTTGGATTTGGACGGGGGGATTGGTCATATTGATGGAGGTGAGCCTTTCTCACCTAGCCATTTGATGCATACAGCCAAAGAAATTCTCGATGCATGGGAGAAGCTTAGATCAGGTGTGCAAAGGTTGTTGTTGGTTTATCCATCCAAAGTTTGCAAGCATTGTTCTGAAGTTCATATTGGACCATCTGGACACAAGGCTCGCCTTTGTGGGGTATTTAAGTTTGAGAGTTGGCATGGGAAGCACTTCTGGAAGAAGGCAGAAGTTGATGATTTAGTGCCTCCAAAGATTGTGTGGTGGCGGCGGCCTCAAGATCCTCCTGTTCTTGTGAATGAAGGGCGAGATTTTTACGGACATGCACCAGCAGTGGTGGATCTATGCACGAAGACTGGCATTATTGTACCACCAAAGTATTCTTGCATGATGAAAATTCAGGGTTTATCAGCACCTGTTTCAAGATGATGTCTTTTGATTGAATCTAAAGTTGAGTTGACATCAAGATATTCGTTCTGATGATTTATGAGCCTCAAAAACGTAAGGATCTGGATGCTTATATTGTGCTTATAGTAGTGACAAATAGGTTTGAGTGATACAAAAATCGATTGGAATGCTAGTAGCTAAAAAATTTCAGTATTAGATCACAAACAATATGGAGTGAGGAACATAGCTGGTGGACCAGTTACAGTATTTGATTTTCTATTAAAATTAAGGCCTTGGCTAACTCGTGTCCTTAGAACATATGTTAAGGGGCTGGTTAGCTTGCAGTTTGCTGATTCAATCCCCTGAAATTTAAGATTGGTGTAAAGATGAAGAGATTCGTTTTTAAATACAAATAGATGCACAACAACACTATACATGCTCGCTCCTTTTTTATATTATTGACGTTATATTTCTATGTTCAAATTTTGTAAATGGAAATCATGCTACCACACAAGTAATTTGTCTAAAATCAGTTGCTTAAGAAAATGCATAATGAATCTACGTTTTATTTTTATTTTCTGATCTTATGGTCTTAATGTAACAAGGTAAGACTCGAACTCATATCATCCCTTTACGTATTTTACGATGGAGTATCATCGGTTGAAACACCACATGGGTGAAAATTACTGGTTCCGCTCATGATCATTAATACTAAATTACATTTTGGATTATTCTAGATTTCCCCTATCATAAAATTTACTTGCTTGACTAATATCTTGTCTGCATGCCGAATCTCCTTTATGATTTCGATGCCCTAAAATTTGATTTCTTTTGTTTTTGTTTTTGCTTGCTGACATGTACACAGGCATGTCATATACAGTCAAAGTTCAAAATCGTAACATGGCTGTCTGGGTGAACAGATTTCAAGCAATACATGGCTGTCTGGGTCTTTCTCTCTTTCTTTTTCTCTCTTGAATGGGACTGATCAGGGATGAACAAAAACCTTATGCTTTATACAATGAGGTTGGTGATGGAAATTTTGACAGGTATCCTCTTCTACATTCAACTGGATAATAATGCCACAGTTGCTGATCTAGTTGAACCATACAAGATATTGATTTAATAGAACCTAGTTGATCTGACCGGGGTTTTAGAGACTAAATTAACCATATCAAATTTGATCTAAACCTGGTCAAATTACCCCAATAAAAACAACAACAAAGCTAATACTGTTTTAATAAAAATAGTTGACCTCAATTCATCTAATGCCATGGCTAATGACCCATGTTATTTCTCGAGTCTATCTCCAAGTCTGGTTCGATACTATGATGAAACATGGGCAGTGGTTCGATACTATGATGAAACATGGACGGTGCAATGCCTCATGCTATCTTGTTTTTCATAACTGCAAACGCAAATCTCTACATAATCATTCTGTTTCCCCCGTTTATTTTTCTATTCTTGTAATTCCATTCCTAACAATCAAATAACTTTAGCTATATTCTAAATGTCTTTAGTCATATTCATGCCTGACTATTACTAATGATTTAACAATATAAGTCCTCACATTTACAATATTATTTCATGCTGTCAAAATTATGATGACAGAAGAAAGAATATTTATAGACAGAAAATCAAATAAATGAAAACATATGCTCTTTAATAATTTCCCCCTTGATTCATACTTGTTCACCACGTACAAATGTTGAAAACATATGCTCTTTAATAATTTCCCCCATGATTCATACTTGTTCACCACGTACACGTACAGATGTGCCTATTGAAGATTGAAAATCAAAGCCTTTCTTGAATAATAAGCTGCAATAGTCATCCTAACCTTCAGGAAATAGTAAGATTTTTAAGTTAATATTGGTCTCCATAAGTTAAAGCTAATACCCTGAAGAAGAAAATTCCCATATGGCAATCACTAGTTTATAATTGCCAGCGCTTTTGCTCTGGGTTGGGTCTAAAATTCTTGGAAGTAAAAAAAAATAATATTTAAGCCGTTAAAAACTTTTTATGAATAAACTTTCTGACCTTATTTTATGATTATACACAATAAACTTTCTGACCTTATTTTATGATTAAACACGTTTTAAATTAAATTACATAGAAATTATTTTAATATAATCTTGTTGATTGGATAGATTTTAAAAAAAAAACCAAAAAAAATAATAGGCCATGTCCACTCTCATCAACCCGCAATTTGATTTAAATTAAATTATATAAAAATTATATTAATGTAATCTTGTTGATTAGGTAGATTTAAAAAAAAATAAAAAACCAAAAAAAATAATAGGCCATATCCACTCTCATCAACCCGCAATTTGGATTCTAGGTTTTATAGAATTTAATTAATTTTTTTTATTTTATTATATGAAAAAAATAAAAAAAATTTACTTAGGTTTTATAGAATTTAATTAATTTTTTTGTTTTATTACATGGGAAAAAAATAAAAACAATTTACTATAAATTTAATATTAAATGATAAAATTAAAAAAACATTTCATGTTATAAATAATAAAATTAAAATTAAAAAAAAACAAAAAATATAAAAAAAATCTAAAGGACCAAAAAAATAAAATTATAAAAAAAACAAAAAATATATAAAAATAAATCTAAAGGACCTATAAAAATAAATCTTGGGCCTATGATAATAAAACCCAAATACATGGACTAAAAACCACATATTAAAAAATAAAATTAAAAAAATTAAATCTAAAAAAAGTTAAATAAAAAAATTTAAAAACCCACAAGGCTAATACAAAATGACCTAGAACTTCCAGCAACCCAGTCTTCAAATGTGACTTACTGTTCCCTTGAACAAATCCAACTATCCTTATCATCGATCTTGACATTGGAGAAGCTCGAGGGCTCAGAGCTGAGAGCTCTTAAGAGATCGCTGGACCTGGAATGGGTAACCAATAACTGCCATCGAAGGCTTGATTTTGTTAATTATCATACGATGTCTCCTATTTACCTGCATTAATGTAGTAATATTTCCTTGTTCAGCTTTCATGACCTGCTATCATGCCTCTCACCTACCACATTAACATGGTTATAAATCGGTGGATAAAACAGTAATTAAGTAGGATTTCAAATCGAGACTATTATTTTTTTTTTTTATCAATGAGTGTTTAAATCAGGTTTGTATATTTCAACTAATTTTACAGATTTTAAAATTAATAATTTTAAAATTTATCAAAACTCAAATAACCTATACAAAATAAATTTAAAACCTAACTTGTTGTACTTACGTCTACTATCATAAATTACAATGGCGAGCACTGAATCCAGATTTATCATTTCTAGTTTTCTATACATAGTTAATAACAAATCCCACTATAGATTTCACGAGATTTTCCTTGTGATAAAACCTACTGAACTTGCACTGTGTAGCATGCCCAATTCAATATGCAGAATCCCATGCTTGTAGGCATATGATATTTCATTCAAACTCATAGCATAAGCATGCTACATAGTGCAAACTAACTTGCACAATGCAGCAAACGTGAACACCTTTCATGTCATACAAGGTTGCCCGATCCTCTCCTCTCGGATGAGATTAAGTAGGTCAGAGATGAGCAAAAAGATTTGGCTTTTAAAATGAGGGTGGTGGTGGAGATTTTGACAGGAACCCTTTTCTACATTCAAGTGGACGATGATGCTACGGTTGCTGATCTTAAGAAAGAGATTGAAGCCCAGCAAAAGCTACCTCAAGATCGTTTGATCCTGTTTCTCAAGAACAAACAAAATCATTTGATAAATATTGAAGAAGGAGATGGGGCATCTTTAGTTGATTGTGGGGTTCAAGATGGATCTCATATCTACCTCTTCTTTGATCCGCTGGATACGGATGAATCTTCTTCTCATTCCTAGCCTCATTCTTACTTAGAACAGGCATAGTTTTCGAATCGATGCGAAAAGGAGAAGGAATTTGACAGTCTTTATGTTTCTGGTCAGGTAGGTGGAAGAAAATACTTAATAGTATGGCATAAGAGTTTGAAGGATAAACTATTATATATATGAACTAATGATAGCAACACGTTCTTAATAGGATCATAAGCTTTTTTTTTTCCTTTCCAAAGTATGTTGTATTAGAGATGATAGCTATCCATTTCTATCAATAAAGCAATTAAATTTCACTTTGGGTTTCGTTTCCGACAGCAATCTCAAATTTACACTACTTTTATTTTATACGTTGAGATGTTCTTGAGAATCACCAACCCGCCCTCCCCTTTGTGTTATTTTGCGGAAAATTTTATAATAAAGTATGAATAGTAACATTTTAAAAATATAGATAAATGATGAAAAAGAAAATCAAATCTGGTATTTATCTCTCGATTGGAAGTAATTATGAGTAATTATTCCGTGAATATCGTAAAATTTGCTGTTATTTTACTCAGGCCTGATATTAAATCTCCTTAATTGGCTATGATCCAATTGTTATCAAAGCCCAAGCAAATCATGACATTAATTTTAATATAAATCATAGCATTCACACCATGCTTATTAATGGTCAAGATTTATGTTAATAAAGAGATAATTGTAAGGGACAGTCCTCAGGTTGTAACAAACTTATTAGAAAACAGAAGCTAAGAAATCTCTACTTGGACTTAGTTTTGCAACCATAATTGCAGAACTTCTAGCAACTCAGTATCCACTACGACTTACTGTTCCCTTGAACACATAAAGGGAATCACCATTATCAACACCGTGCCACCTGAGGCTGCAACTGTCACGCATGATCCTTTGCTTGTGTATAAACAAATAATCGTCTTGAGGGAGGATTTTTCTGCTCAAAAGAAGTTGCCTCATATCATTAACAGTGCTTGAGTCTTTCATTTCCAAAGGAATGCATGCTGCATTGAGCAAACAAGATGAAGTTTGCACCACTATACTTAGCTTTCTTGAGGGAGGATCATCCCTTATTCGAGTCATGGTTTTGAGGAACACAACGATCTCAGAGAATTCATGTATTCCATACTCGCTGAGGTTGCGAAAATCTTCATCAAGCTCCACCCCAGAAAAGAAAAGAGACATCCTTTTGATTGGCGTGCCATCAAAAATGTGGATTTTTTCCTTCAGGCTACGCACCGTATCTGTTCTGTCAACCTCTATATTAATCTGTCTTGCTGAAAATTTCACTATGATTTGAATCTTACCACAGTAGCTGCTAAATGCTGGCATCATTGGTTTGATGGTGAGTTCAATTCTTGTGCCATCAATGACAATGGGATAGTCTTCCATGTCTAGTCCATCAACCAACTCCCAACCTGATACAGCAAGAATTTGTGCTGCCACAGGCACACCCACGAGTTGTTGAATCCTTCTTTTGATATCAAGAACAGGATCTTGTAAGCCAATTTCTAAAAGAAATTCCCGTGCCCCAGCAACGATAGTGACCTTCATCTTGTTCCAGCTGAAATGAAGCTT